CCAGGGAGCCTCGGCAGCAAGTGACAAGTCAGCCCTTTGAGTGGAAGAAGGAAGAGGGGGTTCTGCTACAGTCCTTGGGGAGGCTGGGTCTTGTTTCTTAGGCGACTGAGCCAAGGGAGCTCTCCACGGACATCAGGGACACTAGAGGCGGGTCCACGGCACTGCTCAGGGCCGCTGTTTGCCTGATCCCCAGGCTCAGAGGTGAGGCCCAGTCCTCAACCTCTGCGCTCCTGGAACACCAGCCAAACCGCCCTTCTTGTTTTCCTTGGAGTTACCTCACGACTCTCCCCTGGCATGTTTCCCCAACGGGTGGGGCAATGTTTCCCTCCGATCTTTTCTTTTTCTTAGCTTTACTCTTTCACTTCTCCCAGGAAGGGCAGCCTGCCCCACACAAAGTTGGATTCAGGAGAACAGCACACGCCATAACAAAGGGCCCCATTCATCCGGGCCTCCTCGGAAAGGGCATCTCAGACACCACAATTCTGAGCACTGCCAGCGACTTCTCTCTGACTTCGAAGACAAAATCCCCAACAGCGCCTCTCTGGCTGGCGTCCCTGGCTCTGTGGCCAGGGAAGCAATGGCAGGCGGTTGTTGAAGGATATTGAGGGGTATCATCTCTCTTTGTCCCAGAGAGAAGCTTGGGGGGGCAAGAGTCAGAGGCCCCACCAGTGAGAAAACCTGTCTCAGAGAAGTCTCATTGGCCACTCATCGCCTCTGCTTGTGCCCATGTCAGCATCCCGCTCAGGGGTCGTGGGTGTGAGCCACTCTGGCAGGGTCTAGAATGGGACAGTAAGGCACCAGGTGAGGCCATCCTCTCCGGCTGGAGTGTGGGTGGCAATTCCAGGGCACCCCCAGCAGCCCTCAGTGAAATGGGTGGCCATGAGCAGCTACATGGCTGGAAGAATCCCCAGGACCCATTTACAGGGCGCAGACATTGTTTTTGGCCATACACACATCCATGTTTTATGTTCTTTTCTCGGTTCATTAAATCACTTTCTATAACTTTGTTTTGAAAGTCCCAGCAAGCTGGCTGAGTCAGATGGAGGCCAGGGTAGGGGAAGGTCAGTGCACCGGCCCCTGACTGTTCCATGCAGACAGGCTGCTGCAAGGGAGGGAGGGGCAACGGCCAAGGCACCACTGCGACACTGGTGACGGGGACCTCACAGAGGGGACACCTGGAAGAAGTGTTCATCCACACCTTCTCTCTGAGCTAGCTGCAATAATTCTTTCTGAAGTCCTCAGAAAAGTAACAATCTCTACTTAGTATACTTAGCATTTTCATCTTTGCGTTTCCAAGAACGGGAATGTCTTGTTTGAACCTTTGCTGCGGCTCAGAGATGAGCAGGAAAAAAGCACCCAACTCAAGCATTTGAGCAACCAGTAGAATGACAATAATCACGGTTTTCCTCCAGGGTTCCTTGTGACATCGTAAGCTCTATAACCAGTTGCCTTTCTCTAGCTTATGCTCTATTTAAGTGTCCATGGATATTATTCCTTCCCCTCCTTTGCCCCTTATTCCTACCGCCTCCTTCCACCATCATTCATGTTAGAGAGACACATCAATTGGCTGTGTGTGTGAAAGACCATGACGGGGGCCAGGGATTGAACCTGTAACCGAGACACATACCCTTGACCAGAATCAAACCCACCACTCTTTGGTGCATGGGCTGATGCTCTAACCGCTGAGCCAAACCGGCCAGGGCTGCATGTGCTTTTAAAGTGACAGCTATCCAGGAGGCCCTCTGATTCAGTGTCACCTCCCCCCTCCCCCCCAGCTTCCATCCCCACTTTCTCCAAAGTGGCTCTGATGAGCCATACCTTCCCGTATTCTGTTCTTGTATAATCCCTTCCCCTCGAATCTAGGTTGGCCCTGTGATTTGCTCTTGATCAAGATTGTGTGGTGGGAATGGCTGTGTTACTTCAGAGGTTATTAGAAGAACCTACAGCATCTACTGGGACCTCTTACAACGTCGGCGCGGGGGGGAGCCGTCGCTCTGTCAGAAGCCTGACTGCTCTGAGACCTCGTGTTGTGAGGAAGCAGATGCTCACCACGTGGAGACAGTATCGAGAAAGATGCCCAACCAGCCTCCACCTGTTCCAGTCACCCCAGAGGAGAAACCAGACCTGTAGGCAAGAAAACCATCATGGATATCCCAGTCAGGCGTCCCGAGGTACCAGCCTCGGCTGCCCTTTGAGAGCAGCCACGAGACTCAGGGGGGCAGCTTTTACCCACAAAATCATGAGAGATGATACCTTTCTACTGAAACCACCAAGATTTGCAGTGCTTTGTGATGCAGCGATAGATAGACAGAGTGGCCATGAAGACAGCAAAACATTTTCCATATCTATCTTAGGCCAGTCTTCTTGGTTTACGTATGAGTATGATTTTCTTCCCTTCGTATGAAAAATAGTTCTAATGATGACCATGAGGACTACTCCATTTCCTTTACAGCCATGGTCACTGGAACACTTCAAAAACCTCCACGTCCTAGAAACCACTGCTTTCCGCCCCCTCCCGTTCCTCCTCTGGCCGTGCACCGGTGAATTCCCTGCACACCACATCGCCTGCGGATGTGCCCCGTCGTTCATTGGCCGGGACGATGCTCTTGCGGCAACACGCATCCAGGGCAGATCTCCTGGAAGACAACGGCCGCAAGAGGAAGGGGCTGCAGGTCGGTGCCAGGTGGCTGGGGAGGACACTGGTCTCTCCCATCTCTTAGAACCAGCTTTACTCCAGGCCTCCTCCTAAGCTCTAACCAGGGTGTTGTTTCCCTTCCCACTGCCATTTTCATATTCTTCAAAATACTTTAATTTCCTTCTCTAGCCTGGAAAAGATGTTGGAGAATACCCTTCCCCCAAGTTCAATGAGACAAGGTTGGAATTTTTTAAAAGGAACATTTACTAGGAAACTAAAGGGAAACCAAACAGAATGCAAGAGAACAAAAGCAGAGTTGCAGATGGGCGAAGGGAGTTCAGATTTATAACCAGCCTCTGGCCACAGCTGGACTGGCTAGGCAAAGCTTTCCAGACAGAGCCCCTGCCTGCCATGTGGCAGGCCCCTTTGCCTGCTGGCCCCTACAACGCCACCTTCTGTTTTATACCAACAGACCAGTAGCATACTCAGTACCCCAGGGCTGCAAGCTCTCTGGGCAGGAAGATTTTGAGGGGGGGACAATAGGCACAGCTGCCCCAGGATCTCCTGCCCAGGCTCCCAGTGCCAAGGGTGTGTCAAAATGTCTTGGATGGCTGCCTGATCCTTATTCGGGCTAGTCTGGTTGATCTGGGACCATTCTTCTGGGCATATCTGCCTGGCTCTGGAGATAATATTTCTGCTGACTATTCTGCCAGTACTTGCCTTTCATGCTTTGCTCCTAAACACTGATATGGTGACGGATGTTTGAATGGGGATGAGTAGGTAGAGAGAGTTGGGCAAAGAAAGTTGTATTCTTCTCATGTCATCAGACATAGGTGGAAACTTGGGTCCCCTTTTGATCCTGGAGGTTGAAGCCAGTGGGAGATGGAGATGAACTAAGCAGGCAGGGGGGACAGTGAGAAGCTGGAGAGTAGCAACCACCAAAGGCCTCCGTCCTTTTTAGATCTGACAACAGGGTAGCTCTTACACCAGACAGTTGTGGCAACACAAACTCTCCGAAGACATACAACAGCCCCGTTTCTACCCAATTAGACCTACGCCGAAATGTTCATTCAAACAGAGATGGTGAGCTTCCTAAGAAGGTAAACTACAATCCAACTCCGATTCTGCTGCAAAGGGATTGCATGAAAAGGGAAATGTTATCTCGGAGAAGTGGTGAACGTGTGTGGATGAAGTACCTTGCAACCACTATGGGAGAGAGAGCACCTCCCCTCCCCGGTACGCTGAGGCCTTTGGTTTCACTTATATGACGGCAGAAGTGGTGAGCACGAGGAGCACAGCTGGCAGTGGGTTGGCTGATATGGTCACAAAGGAAGCTGAGTAATGAATGAGATACCCGGGGAGAGCCCTTGACCTCCACTCTTGTAGGTATTTCCATTCCCCAAGTGCCATGAAAGTGATCTGTGTGTCTGGAAGTGAACAGGAAACCTGTCTGCGGCTACCCTAGGCTGTACCTCTGGGCTGTTGCATGTGGAAATTCCCCCAAAGGCACTCAGGCCAAGAAGAACCAAAAGATGGGTCTTCACTCAGGGGACTGCGGTATTCTCTCTCCGTGACCTCAGCTCACACAGTGGCACATCTGTTTCTGAGGCTGTTGCCTCAGTGGACGAATGTGCCTGGGAAAGGGTGCTCCAGAAGCTTACGCCACTGAGATGCATGCCTCTTCAACAGAGACGATAGCTAACTTTCACCCTAATGCCAACATCAGTTGAAAGGAAGTGGCTGCTGGCTATCTAGAAGACAGTGCTGTGGATTCTGACTCCTCCGAATCTGGGTCAGCACAACAGAGGGTCACGATCAGCTGGCGCTCACTGCCCGTGTATGGGAGGGGCAGTGGATTTGCTGTGAACTAGCCTTCCTTGCACTACATTTTCTCCAGGGGAACAGCGAGCTTATCATTACACTCCTGGGGCTCTTCTTTGCCAAGCTGGAGCACTTCTTCAGTGAAATTATTTTCTGAAGACAGTTATTAGCTCAAAGGTGAATTAAATCTGCCTATTTAGCACCTGGATATATTTAAAAATATTCTGTCCTTCCAGGGCATTCAAGCAAACAACATCAAGTCGGTATGATGTTGCCAGGGCAGAGGCTGTGACCCCATCTCTCAGAGTCCTGGTACTCAAGGGACGCTCAGTCCTCTCACTGTGTCCGTTGGTTTCTTCCATTGTCCCCTCTCGGTTCTTGGCCAGGGGAGACGTGCTTCCCTGACAGCACACCTTAGGCCACCTGACGATGGCTGGACCATTCATGTTCACCAAACCCAGTCTGGAAAGAAGGCCAGTTATTGCTGTGGTTACAGCTGAGCATTTGGTCACTGGAGTCGTCCGGGTGTTGTTGGATAGGGAACGTTATGCAAAATCTTTGTAAGATGGTTGTCCTACTGTGTCCTTGGCAAAGCAGTCCTCTTACCACAGTCATCGTTTCTGTAGGAAGAAGAAACAAAAAGAACACTTTGATTTTCATCCATCTAGTTTTAATGCGTACCAAACAAGTGCCAGGCACAGACTGGATGTGGGGGATACGGTTTCACACACCACGCTCTCGAGGGGCTCACAGAGGGACACACGAACAACCAAGCAGCTGAAAAACAGACGTGTACATTACAGTACGTAAGAGCACAGAGGAGGGAGGGACGAGCTTCCAGAGGATTGAAGAGGCTGGCAGAGAAGAGGCTGAAAGATAAGTCTTTTTAAAAGTTTTTTAAATTTAAGTATAGTTGGTATACAATATTACCCTAGTTACAGGTGTACAGTATAGTGATTTAGACATGTATATACCTCACAGTGATCACCACACTAAGTCTAGTCACCATCTGTCACCATGAAAACTCATCACAATATTATCGACGATATTCCCCTTCTCCTTCTCCACCCTCCCCACCTCTCCCCTCTGGCAGCCATCGGTTTGACAATTTCTATGAGTCTGCAAAGAAAGCAAACCAAAATCACAATGAGATACCACCTCACAACAGTCAGAATAGCTATTAACAAAAAGTCAACAAACACCCAGTGCTGGCAAGGACGCGGAGGAAAGGCAGCCTGGCTGGTGGACTGCAAACTGGTGCGGCCACTGTGGAAACCAGTGTGGAGCCTCCTCGATGAGACGAAAACCGAACTACCATATGACCCAGCAATTCCACTTCCGGGTATTTATCCAAACACTCATTTAAAAAGACATATGCACCTCTATATTTATTGTGGTATTTTTTTACAAAAGCCAAACTATGGAAGCAACTTAGGTGTCCACTAATGGATGGATAAAGAAGACATGGCACATATATACAATGAAATGTTACTCAGTAATAAAAGTGAATAAACGCTTGCCATTTGCGATAACATGGATGGACCTGGAGGGTATTTTGCTACGTGAAATAAGTCAGGCAGAAAAACAAATACCATATGGTTTCATTCATATGTAGAATCTAAAGAACAGCAACAAATGGACTAACAGAAAGAAAGATGAATCTTGAGCTGCACCGTTTAGGCTGAAGGGGCGTCCGCCAGGGGAGAAAAGGGAAGACTACTTTGGTGGAGGGAAGAGCCGGTGCAAAGCCACCAAGACTGGAAAGGGCGTGTGGCGTGTTGGAAGAATTGTCGGAATTTGGCACGAGGGGTGGAGCCATGGGAAGGCAGGCGGGGGAGAGGGCGCCCCTTCCTTGTCTCCAGCCTGTGAAGCACAGGCTTTCAGTGGGGCCCAGACTTAGGGCAGCAAGACCTTTTGTTTCACCCTCAGCCTGGCATTCAGCTAAACCGATCAACTCAGGACACTCCAGTGCAGACGAAGGGCGTTATTGCTACAGTCACAGAGAGAAAGAAAACCGGAGTCACGTCCACGGATGTGACTGAAGTACTCCAAGGATGTGGAGTAAGTTTTCCGGGCCCGGACAGTGCCACCGAGGCCCCAGGATGTTTGGTCTGCCAGCCACAAGGTGATGGGATAAAGGAGTTTCAACGTGTCTGTGGAATGCATGGGTCATTTCTACCAGGGGTCTTGCAGGAGAAACTTCTTGAAAACAAAGTTCTCCTAGGAAAAATCAGGTATACAAGTCAGGTGTGAGCAAAGCCGTTTAGCTGTCCCAGGGCACTGTCGAGTACGGCATGGGTGATCTGTGCTGTGGTTCAAGCCCTGTGGTTTATTTTGTGGGAAGATGACTACAAAAACTCAACCAATCAAACAAAACCAAGTAAACGAATTACAACACCTTTCCAAACTCTTGTAACCTAATAAGCTGTTCCTCAGTCAAGACTGCTGTTAAGTGAGGTGTAAGAAAATACTTTCCTATAGTTCAGAAGAGCACTGACCCAGTAGGAACTTGGTGGGGTTGGGTGCTGGAGACAATGGCATCGGTGCTGTAGACAGCAATGGTGTTCAAGCCCTGGTGGCCACAAGGCTGGCCTCGCTGGTGCCGGGGCTGGCGCCAGGCCCATTTCAGTGGGTAGAAGCAGCAATGACCTTGGATCAGATCCACTGGCCTCCCAGGCCGCACCAGGGGTTTAGAAGGTATCAGGAAGTTCTCTGGCATCAGCAGGAATAGTGGTTATAATCGTATCTGAACAGAGGGGATTTTAAGTGAATTCAATTGTCCTGAGACATATGAATCTGGTTTGAATGAAATTGAATTGAAACCGAAGATGAGCACTGTCCCAATGAAAACTGTAATGTGAAGTGACATTTCGATCACAGAAATGACAGCTGATGTGAGGCAGGCCATTGAAACGGACCCCAAATTAAGAACATGAAAGGACTGAGTGGATCATTAGATAATATCTTCCTGTGAATTTGAAAATGGGTTTTGATTACAGGAAGTATCTAAGGACTTTGAACTAAGAAGCTTGTCAAAAACTGAAGTGACTCATTACATGATTCAATCTTATATGTACTTAATATGGTTAAACTTGAATTTAAAAATTTTATTTAAAAACACATAAAAATCTCAGGCTTTTGTTGACTATTTATTACATACCACAGCTTTGCAAGTAGATGACAAAACATCATGCCACGCTCACTTCGAATCTGCTTCTTCCCTTCGCCCTTTCTTCCAAGAAGACAGTCTTTATTCTTCACGCCCCCTCATCCCTTAAAGAATTAGTGTGTAAGAGAAATAAGTCAGGATGACTGTAACCATACTGTAACCATACCGGAGACTGGAGCAATGGCATGGAAATGAAAGAGTCCACTTGGGTGATAACTGCTATTTATTGAGCACTAAAGCACCCTGCTCTATCCCAAGAGCTTTGCACACCTTATCTCATCCAACCGTGGCCTTCTGTGATAGATATTACCATTACGTTTTTACAGAGGTCACTGAGTCTGAGAAAGACAAAGTAACAAAGGCAGTAAATGGCAGAGCCAGAATCTGCCATCGTGTGTTTATGGACCCAAATGTATGATCTTTAAGTACCATGCCCAGGATGGCAAATTACTGCATCGTGAATGTCATTGCCATGAAGATGGCTTTCCAAAAGAACAAGAAGCAAGGGCCCTAAGGGAGGCGCCACTCAAAAGGGAGCGAGAAGGGTACTGTCATCGTTTTTCAGATGAAGGGGCAAGTTAGGGGATTACTGCAAGGAAAAACGTACTCTACTCGACGCAGTTAAGCAGAGGACATTTGAAGCTTGTTATTCCAAATGCCTGGAATAATAAGCATTTACTGAGCACCAGGTAAATGTGTTGGCCACTGGAAACACAAAGGTGACCAAAGCACACCCTACTCTGGAAGAGCTCACAGTTGTCAGCGATGACGAGAAAGGATGGCGAGAAAGAAAAGAGAGTAAATAAAGTCTCATCAGGAAGCTTTATTGGAATTGTGTGTGTGTGTGTGTGTGCGCGTGTGCAAACAGAATTCAATTCACCCAAATTAGGGAAGAAAAAGAGAAAAGGTTATGATAAAGGAATTAGAAGAATTTTATTTGCTAGATTTATAAGTTTTTTTCCTTTTAATTTGAAATGTATAAGAGAATTTAAGTGTGAAATCGGTGTTTTAGAAGTTTAAGAAAATTTAATCTGTCAAATTAAGGAGCTAATTGAGAATGAAGCAAAGATCAAGAAAAAATTTGTGTTTTAATTTCAGAACAAAATTATTAGATTTAGAATCATTATCATCGTTAACATTATATAGCATTTAGTATGTACTGTTATATATTAGTTCCTTTAGGCATCACCATAATTCTCTGAGGTGTGTACTATTATTATCCACAACTTACAGATGAAAAAATTAAGGTGCAGAGATGTTAAAGGGCTGCTCTACTAAGTACTATGGACTGAATTGTTTACGCTCCCCCCCACCCCCAATTCATATGTTGAACCTTTAACCCCTAATGTGATGGCATTTGAAGATGGGCCTTTGAGGCTAATTAGGGTTAGATGAAGTCATGAAGCTGGGGCCTTTATGATGGGATTAGTGCCCTTATAAGGAGACACCAGCCCAGCTGCTGTGGCTCAGTGGTTGAGCATCGACCCATGCACCAAGAGGTTGCTAGTTCAATTTCCGGTCAGGGTACATGCCCAGGTTGTGGGCCTGACCCCCAGTGGGGGGCATGCAGGAGGTGGCCAGTCGATGTTCTCTCTCATTGATGTTTCTATTTTTCCCTCTCCCTTCCTCTCTCAAAAATCAATACAGAAAAAGACATTTTTTTTAAAAAAAGAAGAGACACCAGAGAGCTAGTGTTATCTACACCCCCCCCCACACACACACACACGCCCTGCCATGTGAGGACACACTGAAAGGAGCCACCTGCAAGTCAAGGAGTGTCCTCATCAGGACCCAACCATGTCAGCACCCTGACCTCAGACTTCCAGCTTCTGCAACTATGAAAGAATAAATTGCTGTTGTGTAAGACCTTTGGGTCGATGGTATTTATTATGGCAGCCCAAGCTGATGAAGACACTAAGTGTATTGGTTTCCTAGGGCTCTCATAAAAAATACCATAGACTTGGGTGGCTTAAAACAACAGACATTTATTTTCTCAGTTCTTGGGGCTCGAAATCTGAAATCAAGGTGTCAGTGGGGCCATGCTCCTTCTGAAGGCTCTAGGTAAGAACCCTTCCTTGCCTCTTAGCTTCTGGTGGTGGTCAACAGTTCTCAGTTGTCCTTGGATTATGGTTGCATCACTCCAGTTCCTGCCTCCATCATCACACTGCATTCTCCCTGTGTCTCTGTCTTCACGTGGTCTTTTTCTAGTCTTCACTAGTCATTGGATTTATGGCCCATCCTAATCTAGTATGACCTTATTTAAACTTAACTAAATATATCTGGAAAGACTCTATATCCAAATAATGTCACATTCTGAGGTTCTGGGTAGGTAGGAATTTAAGAGGGTCATTATTGAACCCAGTACCCCATGTCACCAACATCCAGCTCATTGATAAACTCAATGCCAGTTCTCATTCCTCACCTTATTGACCTGTTGGCAACATCTAACAG